TGCGTCAGCACGCTCGGGGAGCTGGCGGCGGGCTCGGCTGTGTGCATCGTGGCCGTGCCAGCCCCTGCCCAGCAGTTCATGGCCGTTTTCGTCAAGCTCTACCCCCTGCTTGTGTTCGCCGCGCCCCTGCTCTGCGCCTTCTTGTATTTCTGGCGCGCTTATGGCCAGTGCCAGCGCAGGGGGACCAAGACCCAAAACCTGAGGAACCAGATCAGGTCGAGGCGCCTTACAATAATGCTGCTAAGCGTCACTGTGACCTTGACAGTGATGTGGCTGCCCGAATGGATATCCTGGCTGTGGGTTTGGCACCTAAAGCCAGCAAGCCCTGCTCCACCCGAAGGATTCTTGGCTCTGACCCAAGTCCTTATGTTTGCCATCTCATCAGTCAACCCTCTCATCTTCCTGGTGATGTCTGAGGAATTCAGAGAGGGCTTTAAGGGCTTGTGGAAAAGACTGACCCTGGAAAAGCCTGTCCCTGCCACAGACAACCAGGAAATCCCAGCTGCTAACTCTGAGGGTCTTCCTGATTCTGTCCCTTCTCCAGAGTCAGCGATTGCTGAGCAAGAGGAAGAACTCCCAGCTGCCCCCCAAGCCTCAGAAAGCCTGGAAAAGAAGGAGATGCCAGTCTTTCCAGACGTAGAGCAGTTCTGGCATGACCGAGAAGCCGCCCCAGATGCTCAAGACAATGACCCTATTCCCTGGGAACACGAAGAGCAAGAGACAGTAGGCTGTGATCAGTAAGGTTGAAGTTTTTAGCCAGAGGAAGGTCTAGTCAGTATAGTTTTGCTACTTACCAATGTGCTTAAACTGATAAGGAATATACAGGAAAAATGTTACACTGGTGAAATTTTTACCATTTTCTGTGCTCATTAAATGTTTGATTTCCAAATCTGTTACAATATTAATATTTGCAGTACTGTAGCCCTCTTGGTCCCAGGATATTGCAGACTTGAAGAGCTGTGTAAACTCCAAGGCTTGTTTCTTTGCACCAACTGAAGTTGGTGTTCATCTACAAGGTATTTCCTCACCCACAATAAAGGGTGTGTATGTGTATCAGGGCAATGCATTAATAGTTTCAATCCTGATGATCAAAATTTTGGTGAAGTGTTTCCTCAGAAATGCTAACGTTTTGCATTTCAGTAGCCAATGTGGAGATTTTTTTTAAAAAGGTGTTTGAGACAGAGAATTGAGAACAGAAATTAGAGAACAGACACAAACTTAAATCAGGACAAGCTGGTGAGCTCAATTTCAAAATACGTCTAACCGTCAAAGAGAAAACATTAATATTCACAAAATACATTGCAGATTATGTACCCATTTTGATGTTCTGGTTTAAGTGCTGCAGTTACTTCTGTGGAATTCATATAGTTTCACAGGGTGATGGTGCAGAATTTGACTTCAGCAGTACAACAGGGCATATTTTCAGAAATTTTTTTTTTGAAACAACTGAAAAAGCAGGTGAGGTTTGCTAACAAGTCAGAATTGCTTTTCAGAACCAAAACAATAATTCCCCCTTTCTGAATGTGCATTATTGAGATGAAGGTATATTTAGAAATCTTGTTCTAAGATAAACATGTTTTGTGTCTTCCTCAGTAAAAATGTTTCATGCTAATTTTGTAAAGTACTTACAAAGCGTAGCAGGTGTCAGTCACTGTCAGTTTGTTTTCTACTGTGAATAAATAAAAAGTGAAGTTGGTTTGCCTTACTTAGGGCATGTTTATACTAGGAAATTATTTCAAAATAGCGTGCCCACACTACAGGGAAGCATTGAAATCAATCCGAGGAAGGCTATTGCGAAATGAGTGTTATTCCTTGTGGAAAGCTGGAGCTATTATTTTGAAATAACCAGCCCATTATTTTGAAACAACAGGCTTGGTAGTTTGGACACTCTGCTTGTTATTTCAAAATAACTCCCTGTAGTGTAGACCAGGGCTTAGACCCAAAAATCGTTTTCTTCAGTCCACTGAAATTCACAGGAGATATTTCTTGTAGTTAAGTAAAGGGATGGTTTTATAAAATTGCTGATATCATTGAGAGAGTCATTAATTCAAGAAGAATCAACACAATAGTATTGTATCTTAAAACGGTGAGTGGTTCCTACTTGAACATTACAAAATGGTTATTTGTGAGAACTGCTCAGTAGGACTAAAAACCACCCTCAGATCTCTCCAGCCCTAGTAAATTGAGTCACTGGTTCTACCTTGTGAATTAGCTCACGTGCTTGGAAATAAGATCTACCCTACTTGTTGGAGCAGCTCAGATTTTCCCACAATGTGTATCACAGTCACAGACAAGAGAAACTCTGACATGACTGTGGGTTGTGTAACTTAAGAGAATAAACAGTGACTATTACAGTCTGTTAATACCTACATAGGGAACAAATATTTAACTATAATCTCTTCAATCTAGCAAACCAAGATATAACATAATGCAGTCTCTAGAAAGTGAATCTAGACAAATTCAGACTGGAAATAAAGTGTAAACTTTAACGGTGAGAATTAAGGATAGCCACAATTTAACCAAAGATCCTTGTGGATTTTCCATCAGTGACCATTTTTAAATCAAGACAGATGTTTCTCTGAAAGAGCTGTTCTGGGAATTATGTTGGTGATGTTCTATGATCTGTATTATTCATTATGACAGACGAGATGATCTTGTCTGGCCTTAGAATCTATGAATTTGAGAGACATATGTGTTGGTGGCAGAGTTTGAGCTGAACTTCTAGTTACCTTTCCAAACACAGTTTGACCGTCCAGACTGCAGCAATGGCCCATGTTTGTTTCATCTGCATGTGGATGGAGGTCATAACTGTTCCAATCCTCTGCCTGTGCCAGTTACCTTAGCCTTGTATCTTCAATTTAGACAACTTTACCACCACCACACTTGGGTCACCACTCAAATTTCAGCTAGTGCACAATGTGCTGGGTTTGCTTTCTTAGTAGAGTTTCACACATGGAATATAAGACACTATTGTGCCTATGCATATGCTGGCTTTCAGGTGGATTGAGTGCAATTATATTGATAAAGCCCATCATGATTTGGATTCTTGGCATCTGACAGTAAGTCTACATAGCCAAAAAAAAATAAAAAAAATCTGCTGGCTTGTTTCACTGCTGTGTAAAAATCTGGGCTTGAGCAGGAGCCCAGGCTATAGAAACCTGGGATTGGGATGGTTCAAGAGCCTAGCTCCAGCCTGGGCCCGTTACACAGCAATGAAATAGCTCTGCAGCTCAAGTTGGCTGGCGTGGGCCAGCAATGGGTTTTTCTTTACTGTGTAAACATACCCAAGAGACCACCTTCCCTACCCATGCTTCATTCTGGCAATTAAGCTCTGGCATACACATTCCACTAAATTCACATTTGCATGGGAGTAGGCTAGAAGCAGGTCATTCCTAGAGGGTCCTTTACACTGGAACAGGTACTGTTCCAACCCAGTCCAATAGAGCTAGAGAGGTCAACCCTCAGAACATAATGCAATGCTCATTTAGTGAAATATTAGGGGAGATAGGAAGCCCCAGGTGATTTTATCTAGACAGACTAAGTTTACATTTAAAATAAAATCTCTGTATTGGGTAAGTCTAATGAGAGGTGGGGTGCACTAGTAGCACTGTACTTAAGGTTATATTTGATGTCAAATTAGACAGGATCTCATTTATAACCCACTATAGTTTGTGCATTTCAAGGAGGCACTGGGGAATGTGACACTTTTTGATGTTTAGGTTTTATTGCTAGTTATTTTATAGAAAAACTAATTTAATGTTTGCTTCTTAAACACTGTTTTAGGGTGTTAATCTGGGCAAAATTTTCTCAGATCTCTGATCTAAATTTCAGGAATTCAAGAGGATCCAGGTCATGTCAGCTTGTGTGTGAGAACAGCACTTAATATGATATGGCCTATTAATATTACTGTAAATTCATGTTAATATACAAGAGGAAAATGTTTGCCGCTATCTAAACTTCATAGGTTACATTACTTTCTGTAGCTTTAACAAAGCTCTCTCATACTCTAGTGAACAAGACACCCCAAGCTGACAGAGTTAGCCACTTGTTTTTTTGGGATCTGGCACACCAGCAGACTCACTAAAGTCTAATAAAAAAATCGTAAACCGATTTCTCTCATTTCAAAAGTCTTTGTGGGAAAAGAATGATAGAAAGCAAAGAGAATTGTGTTATATCAGAAAGATGTGAACCACGCCTCCCACCGACTAAGCACCAAAAGGAAACTCACTCTTCATCTCAAGCACAACAGAGGACCAAGAAACTAACCAAACACCAATTTTGAGTTTTTTGCTGTTTTGCAAATAATTTCATATTGTATTTGCACTTGAATGCAATGTTCTAGTATAAAAATTACATTAGTCTACAAGATTTATCACAAAATCTTGTTTTGTCTCCCTAGGAAATGGTCTATTTTCAGCATGTCTAATGTTAGTTTGGATTTGTATTGTTAAAGATACATCTCTGAGCTTAAACAAATGTATTAAGCGTGTTCAATTCATATATAAAAAGGGTTGTTTTTATTGTAGTTCAAATACATAAACTAAACAATCCCAACATTTCAAAATTAAACTTTAGAAACACAAGTTTAACATTCATAACAGGAGTATAGTTTACAAGAAATTATCCAGCAGGGAAATCCACAGTCTAATCCAGAAGTAAGTAAAGATCACTTTATGGTAAATAAAAATATGTTTGTACAACCGTCCTGTTCTGGGAACCATTGTTATTTATTGTGTTTCCAATTTTGAGCAAGAAATCACAGACAAATCTTCACTTGGGCAAAATAAACCTGATTTTGCCTGTACTTCAGAATGGGGGCAGGGGGAATAAAGCAGACCTGTGAACAACTTCAGAACGGTGTTTAATTTGGTCTCTGTTCACTTAATTCTTCACTCACATCAGTGTCAATCTATAGACTTTAACAGTTGATTTTGATTTATACAAGGGTGAAAGAAAATAGAGAATCAGACCCTTTGTTTTCAGATTTAAGAGAATATTTTTTACTGTAGCTATCATCACTTAATAGTTTGACTTGAGACAGTGTTTTTTGCCTGTTAAAACAGCTAACCTTGGGTAACCATTAGGACCGTTTGTGGGACTTGTGTAGCTAAGTTCAAACCACAAATGTCAAATCATCCTTAAGACTTGCATATATAACACTGCTGAGAAGAATGCCTCCAAATATCACTGACAACCACACCTCATATACAGATATTCCATTGTTCTGAGATCTAAAATTACTAGACAGCCTGCATGGTTGGGACTTTTGTCAGTCATGCCACACAAAGAAAAGCATAAATATCTTAAGTGTTCTCTTTGCACAAAGACCATTTTTATGTTCACAAACACTGCTGCTTCCTCTGCTCCTCAGATTTTTTTCAATAGGTTCACGGTAATGTAGATGTAAAAACCTGACATGGCTCATGCAAGCTTTTGAATTAATAGATACCCCAGTGTGAGAATATTTCATAATTATTTTGTTGTTCTTCTTGTAGGCTCTGAAGCTGTGGGAGGTGGAGGGGGACCTCGGCGGTCCAGGTCATCTACATAGGACACGATGAGCTTGCGCCTCTCCTCTGGCACACAGTCAAGTACCAGATAACGCTTGTCATTCTGTAAAATCTTTTCTACATCTTTCAGGTGCTGGTCAGATTCTTGGATCAACTTTTTGGATCTGAAATGAAGCATACTAGTTACCATCTGGCAGCTGAGAGCCTACATAAAATGCATTGGGAAACTTAATCCAGTTACTGATGGCAGATGTCCAATTACAAAAACTACCCGCACCATTAGAACCTCTCTTGACAGCATCAGCAGATAAGTCAAGTGCTGAAAGGGCATAGAGACTGAGCTATCCTCTCACCTATACAGATGCCCCTTCAGGTCAGGGTTGAGGCACATTGGCAGGAATGTGTAAAAAATCTTGCACTGCCACTGCCTGTGCTGTATCTGTTCTGTGGATAAACAGAAGACTTCAGTCTTAATGGCTGCCAGAACCATTTATCAGCATTAAATGAACCACAAAAATGTAAAAATAAGAAAAAATAATCACAATTGAAATTGATCACTCACAAAGAAATAAACTATTAAAACATGGACGTTAAACTCCCAGTTGCAGTCCAATCTGACTGATGCATCAATCTGGCTACCGCATCAATTTAAGACTGCAATTCAGCCCCACTGAGAGCAGCAGTAACTGTGAAATAAAGCTCCAATACTTTATACACAGCACTGGCTGCAAACGGAAACAAGAAACTGATTAGGATCTAATAAACCTACTCAACAACCTTCTACCTCAAGCTCTTTTGCTTCCAGAATGGGAACCTACCCAGGACCCTAATATTTTACAATAGGCTCAAGACCAGACTGATTTAAACAATTAACTTGTTTGTAAAGCAAATACCCAAAGCCCACTAAAATCAACAGGTTTATTATTTTAATGAGGGTGGAGTTTCAGACTTCGTCTTTTCTCCAAGCTCCCATCACTAGACGTTTCACTGGGTATTAAGGAGAATATTCAGCCCTAACTTTTAGGCCTGAACCAAGGATCCTAATTAAGCAGGTAATTTGGCCTCATCACAAAACATGTTGAATTACTTGACAATGTATTCAAAATAACCAAAACAATGCTCTGAAACAAAACAAAAATCCAAACCCTTACTATACAACACTTGCCAACACCTGATAATAAGAACTGCAGAAGTCAACAGACACTACTCGCTACTATGCAACTTCATAGGCAGGCCCAAAAATCTAAAATTTTTGCACTAAAGCTTCTCAGACACTGGTCTATAAATGTTAGCTGGGAGGAGAAAGTGAAAATCAATTCGTCAACACTTACACTTAAAGTACAATAGAGAAAAGTCTTTGCTTGTCTAAAACATCATGACACATACCTGTATGTTATAAATTTGGTCTCTTTCAATAGCGTTCTGAAGTCAGCTTTGGCAGTAATGTATTTGTCTCTAATGTACTCTTCAAACTCCCTTTGTTTTTTCTGCACAAAGAAAAAATATAGAAAATTTGATGGTAGATCAATATTTGCTATTAAATTACAGTGTACAATAAATAATTTTATTATAATTCATTTACAGATCTCAATAGAAAAGTGGTTTTTAATTAAGATTTTAAAATAAACAAATATCTAACACAGTGATCGACATCTATTCATGTGAAAGGGAATCCATTTCAACAAGTATTCACTTTCTTTTGCTCTGGAAATTGTGGGGAGACTAGCAGCAATGAAGCAAAACTATTTCTTACCCTATCACTGGAAGAGAACTTAATGCACCTAGGATCTTCTTTAATGATTTTTTTCACTTCTTTCCATGTTGATGTTAGAGTAATCTTTCAAAAGAGACAAAAGCAGTTCAATATTGCAAATGACACAGAGTCCAAGCATAAAGTGATTATCATCACTATTCCGAAGTCCCTGAAATCTTCACACATAAGGAAGCAAATTAAGGACACAATTTTTAAATGTTTTGTAGGCTTCTTTTATACCAGGGGTGAAGAACCTAAGGCCGAGGGGCCCCAAGCTTGCCTGGATCTGGCCCCCGATGCTTGGGACTCCCTCCCCCCGCTCAGCATGGGGAGCCCACACTGGTGCTCCACACCTCTCCTCCACGGGGCTGAAGCACACAAAATCTACCAGACTGGGCTCCCCTAGGCTCTGGAGTGCGAGGGGAATGTGAGGAGTATATTTCTCCTCTTCAGTCAGGGTCCACACGAGTGAGGGTTTAGTTTTCTTTTTTCTTCTCAGTGTGTGCAACCCCCAACTGATTTTTCTGTGGGTCAGCAGCCCCTGTCCAAAAAAAGGTTTCCCACCTGTTTTATACCTTTAATATTACTTTCATACTGTTCAGTTGCACATTTTCCTTTTTTAACGCTTTTTTCCCTGTAAACTGGTGGATTTTAAGAGAGAATTCCTCACCAAATTATGATGGAATTTAAACTATAAGAAACTAGCTCATGCATATTTGGATAATTTCAACAACACGAATGCTGTATGTGTAAAAACAGCTGCCAACTATATTTAGAAGTCTCAGCATAATGTCAGGTATTCATCATTTTAATTTATTTTAGTCTACCATATAAAATGATTATAATGTTAGATATGGTTCTAAAATGATTTAATAAGACTTCTTCCAAAGACTTGAAGTTATGATGAAGTCAGAATGAGAGATAAGGGAGGCAGGAAGTCACGAAACAACAAATTAAGGAAGGAGACAAAGATTTAAATAGCATTAGTATAGACGTTAAAGTTAAGAATGAATTCTGCATGATGGTTAAGAAGATAAAAAGAGAAGGTGAATTAGGACAAGTTGTTAGATAGGTAGGAGCAAATTCAGAAGAATAAAAGATACCCAAACACTAAGGAACTAGGTCAGAATAGAAGGTATCGCATAATGCAACACTGAAGAGATGTGGAAAAGAAGAAAAAAATAATGCCTATAAAGAGGACACCAGAGTCAAGAGCAGGTGGCAGCAAATACTGGCCCACGAGGTAAATCTGGTCTACCCGGGTTATCTCATGGCAGACCCCCAATGCTATATTTACCTGCTCCGACAGCAGCTCCTGTTGGCTGTAGATTGCTGTTTCCGGATAATGAGAACCGCGGGGAAGCTGTTCCAGTCTGTACTGCTTCCCGTCGCTCTCATTAGTCGGAATGTCAATCTGAAGCCAAAGGGAGGTACAATCACTGATACTTGTGGCTGTGCAGGTAAATATAGTGGCAGCAGCCCGCCAGGCGCTAACTCTGGCAAATCACTGCTGAGTTATTGGCCACCCCTGGTCAAGAGTGTGAAAAGACTGAATTTGGAAAAGGGATCACAACATTCAAGATGGTTATTATGATATATTTGGTTAGGTGATAAAAAGATGATTCTTTCCAGTATTTACTTTCCTCCTACTATTTCCTTTCCTAGGAGGAAAGTTGGTGTAGGAGAAAAAGCCTACAAAAGAATCATTACCAAGATGGGGTGAAGAGAAATCTAGAAACAAAATATCACAAATATTACAGAAGGTAAAACTAGAGGATGCAAGTCAAAATCATAGAGTTACAGGACAGAAAGGATCACTAGGTCTGATCTCCCATACATTATGACTGATACAAAGACCCTGCAATAGCAGAGCAAAAATTAAATGAGATATTATCCAGATAATCCTGACCAGGACCCCATATCCATACACTGCACAAGAAAGCCAAGCCCCTCAAAGTCATTGCCAATGTGACCTGGGGAAATTCCTTCCAACAATCAGACCATGAACCAGAATCAACTATCCAAGCACTGGAGAGAGAGAGAGAATGTTTGGTGCCACCTTGGAACCCACCCTGCCCCATATTCTGTCTCCAGCTGTGATC